TATATGGCCTTCAAATCTTTTTTGCGCTGACGCCGTTAGTTACGGAGAGAGAGAGTGGCACCGCGCTTTGGAACGCTACTTGACACACATTTATAGAAAAAAATCAAGAGTGTACCGTGGAATCGTGTAGAAAAGGTTTCTAGACAGCCTTGTCTTAGTCTTTGTTTCGCTAGCTGATCGAGTAGACCACGAAACGTTATGTTTGCCGAGTCCAATGCTTCTATCTCCTGGAACATGTTTAAATAACTTTGTAGCAATTGTGAAACAGCAGTTGCATGGGAACCTATCTCGAATCAGCTCGTATATCAGTTGCGTTTTAGACAGAACATATTAGCATATTATTGAATAGATAGTAATCTGAATGCGCAGTAAGCACCTTTGTCGCATATTGAGTTACCTCGAACCTTTGTGTGTTTGTGCTCAGTTTGCCGGTTGTTGTTGGGAATTAGCATGAATTCCGCCAGCTCCAGCAGAGCCGCCGTAATCTTCGTAGTCAGCTCGATGGCTCATTAGGTCGAATGGTTCTGCTTGAGGGCCAGATGGTGCTGCGGGCACGAAAAAGTTCGGCACACTTGGAGGCCCGCCAGCGTTCATCGACACCATGGGGTTTGTCGAGGGAGGCGACATCTGAATGTCCGGAGAAACCGTTTGGCTGCTTTGCTTCAGAACATCCACGTACCGCGCTGAACTCCAAGAAAAACAGTTCCGATTGAATAAGCTCAACAACGAAAAGTTCAACAAATGCGTATAATTGATATCGTAATGTCAAATTCGGCTGATTAACACATGGGGATTTCCTTCTCCATGTTTTGTCAAATTTGACCTACAACTTGATAAAATAACGCAAAACTATGTAGGAAATGATTACTATTAATTATAGTAGATAGTATCGTCATATTACTTACTGCCTACTTAGGCTTGTGGATAACAACTAACATCGAAATGTTTGATTTTTTGTTATTGGCCATTTTGGGTCCTTTACAGAAACTACACTTACGTTTGCCCTTGCTTCGCTGGTATTTGTTCAAAGCGCCATTTGGCTGTGCTAACATGTTCTGCCCCTGGGGACTCATTAGAGGCACGGATTGGGCGGCATGGACATCTCCTCCTTGCTGAATTGGCTAAAAACCACAAAAAAACCTCCATTGAAAAGTCGAGCAATACAGATAGTTCCTTATATGCTACAATGATTGTTTGATCACGTAATTAGAACTTAGCGAAGCCAATACTTTAATAACGCTATAAAATAACGATTTTATTTGCATATGATATTCGGATATTTCACACCACAAATCAGCAGTAGAAAGTTTCCAGCTTCCAAACCTACAGTTTGCATTATCTGTTGCTGCTGCGACTGTTGCGCGGCTGGCGCTCCAGGAACTCCCGTGGGAATCTTCGGAACAATAGATGGGCCTGCGCCGAGGATGGCATCGCTAGGAGGCGCCATGGGTGTAGCGTCCGACGACGTGGAATCAGCGTTCTTATCAACCCAGCGCTTTTGGTCGGGATCCCAGATGATCTAATAAAGAAAATTACATTCACACGTGTTAGACTTCTTGTATCAGTATGGTACTATTCCAGACGGTTATAGACATAATAATGTTTCATTAATGCAGCAAAATTTATTGATTGGTCAGAGGAGATGGAATAGGACTGGCTCTACAGTTTCTCGAAAAATTCCTTGGCAGGACAGCTTCAGTTTGATGAGTTATTTTCATAGTTATTAAGCAATCCTTGCGACAGTTTGCTGCGAGTAGCGCACAACGAGCTATATTAATAGGTGTAACCACATTCTGCCGAATCTGCGGGTAAGTTACTATCAAAACACAACGTATGTTAACTTCTATAACGTTTAAACGTAAGCTGAAAGCGTTGCCAGGGTGAACAAAAGTGCCTGGCACACTACAAATATAGTAATAATAATGTGATCCTGTTTGTTTTGAACCAGTGATATATACTCGCATTGCTCTGAGAATACCATTCAGTGTTTTAACACTCGTGATTCTAAACGCTCTGTCCGTCACTAACTCACCTGGCATTTACATATATATATATATATATGCTGAATTATAATTTACACTGGCAGTTGTTGGCAACAGAATATTATTGTATTATAGCGTTTACTTGTTGCAAAATGGCTCAAGTCCGTTTTCTGGTTTTGATTTCTGATCGGTTCGATTTCCTCTGAACAAATAATTTCTCCATAGAAAAAGCTGGTTCCTCATTGACTCTCAATCAGTACGTTAACATCAATTATAAAATATATACATATAGGTCTGATCTACTTCTAAATAAACAGACGGCCTATAAGGGGCGATTGATCCTGATCAAGAGCTCTATCATCCTTATTCACTTTCATAAATAGTGTTATCGGACCTAAAAGCAACTTTCTAAATTAACTGACACAATAGGAAAGCAAGACCTTACAATTCCTATTGCAACTAACTCACAAAGTATTTAAGTAACCGCAAGATATTACAGATCAATATAGTTCTACTTGGTCAAGCCTCAAGCTCATCGGTCTGATGCTAATAAACATCATATTTATAGTTTATTCTTGAGCGATCATTATTCAAATCCGAACAGCGGAACTGTTGTGCACTGACCGACTGGTCCTTGTCTTCTGGTAGAATCATCTGATTTGGTCCTCGGGGAAGGAATTTCCCGAAAATCCCTCCCAGCCAGCTGCGGCCCGCCTGTGAAGTTGGAGTTGACTTCTTCGTTGACTGTTGCTGCTGTACGGGAGCTGCCCCGTCGTGAGCAAGTGGTGCTTTATGACCGTGGGTCGCAGCCGCCTGGAGAGACCCCGGGCTCGCTATCTGAGGAAGCTGCTGCTGCTGCCTCACCTAAGAACAACAATATAATGCGTGACCACGTGCGATGTTTGCAAAATATTTTTTCCTAGTAATCTGGTTTTGTATTTTTCTCATAAGGACAACAGTTTGAAGTAAATATTATTACTGTTATATAAGGTAGTTCTTCAACGTCGGTCACACAAGATCCAAAACGAAACCTACGAAGTTTTGATATGCGTTTGTCCTGCCTTATAGATGATTATGATTACCTCACTGTCTCTTCGTGAGTCAGTTGGGTCCCCAGATGTGGTAATTGAAGTGTTCGTTATCGAACTAGACGAGGAGTCAATACGGGGTCGATGCTTGGTACTTTGGTTGTTGTAACAGTCCGGACCTGCCGCAGGTTGATGCATGGATTGGCTTGACGGCACTGTTGGCACCTACGTGGTCAGGTAAATAGGGGGATGAAGGAATGAAGTTCCATAACTTCAGCTATTTGTGTCGTATTCGCAAGATCACTTAATAGATCCGGTATCCAAGTTTGATAATATTCACAGCTTAGGCGAATGTAACCACTCAGTGATTTGGCTATTAGTGTATAGTCGAGATAAAAACAAAGTCAAACCCGCCATAATATATAGCCTGTAAATGCTGAGTTCTATTATTTGATGTGGAAGAGACCGTCAAAAGTGAGGGTGAAAATTGCAGTGAGTCTAAAAACGCTGTGAATCAGTAGTGGCAATTTTGTTGGACTGGAATGGGCAGACTGAATATCTACGATATGGTAACGCCAAGTGAATCGTTCTTCATAGAAACTGCTATAACCGAGCTCGACTTTCCAACAACACACCTGCTGCACTGGCGCAGGCTGCGACTGGTCGTATCCACAGGTTTGTGGAGAGGCAGGATATCCTTCGGTAAACCCTTCCGTGCCTATGTCGTGATCTACAGAGCCGTTTCTTGAATACGGCAACGCTGTTCGATGCTGCAGTTGTTGAGTCCCTTGCGCCTGCTGAAATGTTCAATTCCGGAAAAAACCATCCCATTTTACAATTCAACCAAAAAAAGCCATTAGATAAGTGATAATTACTGGATAACACAAACATTCCCAACTACCTATCCAAATAAACTAGTTATACATAGAAAAACCAAACCAATCCGTAACGGAGCAAAGATCACTAACGATTTAAATTCTAAATTTTAAATTAGATTTTTCTCCCAATCTCAACAAGCATGCATGTAATGTTTGAACTAAAAACGAAACACAAATTCCGCCGTGATACTAATGCAAACAGTGGTACTAATATTTATTTCATATTTATATATTATAGTTACAATCTTAGTTTGAAATTTTCATCATTCCCTGTTGTGCCAGCGCTTACATCGTAGCTAAACCATACACACATCTCACACCAATTCTGGATGCATTAAAATCTGTTTAGATGAATTGCTTGCATCACCTCCTTCATGAACAGTAGTAAAATTTACTAGTTTTTACAATTGTATTTCGTACTGTTTTTGTCATTGATCCCTTCCATACTATGTTATAGTTCTCATGGTACAGAATTTACGACCACGTTATATCGCGCATATAGCCACAATCTTTATAGCCGTTTGTTGATGGAGAATTAGACGCTTCTAGCAACATCCAGTGGCAGATACACAATTTGTACGATATCTTATATACTAAACGCACCAGTCAAAGCCATCAAGGGATTCAGGTATTGCTATGCTTAACCGTGCATCCGCCATGCTACAATTCCGACCATCGTACTGTCAACAAAAAATTGTGCAGAAATACCGTTCAGTTCGAAAGAAACTACTAAGTCGTCATTTGAAAAGCATAGAAAGAAGAAAATAACACTGCTGTGTACTTGACTCATTACTCTATGCGAACGTATGTCGTCATTTTGTAGCGCTGGCTTTTCATTCATAGTTCCACGTTTCCATTAGCTGACCGCGGGTTTGGTGGCGAGTGAATTCTATTTGCCGGAATAGATATCGGCATATCGATTGGGTAAGTTCCTTTGAAAACGAGTTTTTCGAATCTCGAAGCTGGTGCATTCATTTTGTAAGCGGATTCGTTTAGACCGTAATAGACTTCAGCAGAGTCAATTTTTCGAGCAGTTAGAGCGTTTTTCATTGGCCGCTTCGTTAGTGTGTAAGTTAATTGAGAATCACTGACAAGTGGACCAGGCTGTGGCAATTGATCGTCCTTAAGCGCACTAATTCCTCCATCGTTCTCAATGACTGTATCGTCATACGAGACGCTTTTAGTCACAATTCTTCGCGGAGTGCCATTCACTACGACGTTGCTACTGCCCTCACTATCGGCCGCTTGCTTTGCTGAAGGTCTGCGCGCCTTCAAAGCGGATTTCAGCGGCCGAAATGCTGTCAACTTTTGCACTGTTCTTGAGGTCTGTACACACCTGGTCGGTGTAACTATTACGGGCGTGTCGTTCTCTTCAACTCCACTTCTAACCTTTTTTTTTAGGTACCAAACATTGTCCTTGGGCTGAGCGGCATTGAATCCTGAAGTTTGTTGCTGTAAGCCCCATACTCTCGCCCAGAGGTCAGGGTCAGCCGTACAGTCCTTAGGCTTCAGCTCTGTGTGACTTGAATGGATAGATGTGTTTAAGCAGGCGAACTGCTGTGCTGTTGTTTTAGTTGTTGTTATCGCCGATGAGGACAGCTGATGACTTCGCCTGAAAAATCGCATGGTTGCATCAAAATTTTCTGCATCCAAATCTAGTTCGCTTAAAATCCGCTTTTGTTGAATCTCAATTGAGCTCTGCTGACTTCCACCTTTTTGGGAAGCACCACCTCGACTGTTGTTTGCATTGTATCCGTAATTGGAAATTTGTTGTCCTAGCGTTATTCTTTGCGCATGATTCCGTGATAATCGCTCCGGCTCGGTCAGAAATTGGGAATCACTTTGAATGTTGTGAGCTGTCGAGAATTTACTTGGCTCGCTTTGTTGCGGTAAAAGTGTTTGTCTTTTTTGAAATTTGAGGAAGTTTTGGTACTGTTTACATGCAGCCTCGTTGTCTTCAGTATCGGGTTTTCCTTCATCCTCGATTACCCCATCATCAGTATCGATTTGCTCATAGTGCATCTGCGTTTTGTCCACTGGTTCAATTTCAGTCCCTTCTGGTTCCTCACCGTAGCTCTGCCCTGAGTAAATCCCAGATCCATCTTCTGAACCAAGTTCGTCATCGTATTCGTCAGTCCGCTCGTAAAGAGGAGTTGACCGATTAGAGCCAGTGCCCTGCAATGATAAATGAGTATGAGCTTTTTGCTCCATAGATTTGTCGCTTTATTTACGACTCAAATCTACCCACAGGGCATTAAGGATTATATTTTTGTTCAAAGCAAATAAAGGAGCTAGCAACGACTATATTTCTATTACGCTTCTTGATACCCAATGCTTGTAATTCGGATTTGATTCACAGTTGGTGAGCGTTTCGATATTTCAATGCTTAGTTAGCCAATGCTTCTCATGTCAGCTAAGGCTCTCTTCGTGAATACACAATTTCGAAATCTAAGGTAAAGAGCATTGAGAACTTCTATAACCGATTACCATTGGCTATGTAAAATCTGTAGCTACTATATTATACTCCTGCTTCATTGACCACCCATTTTTATTTGAAAAATGCGATCTGTAAAGAGCTGATTCCCTTGAGACATTCAAATAAGTAGCTACAAAAAGGCATTTCCTGGATGATCCGTAGCACGCACCTACAAACCGAAGATGCGGCAACCTACCATCTAACGTATCTAGACATATTAGTAAAAAATTTGGGTACGTCCGGGCGATAAGGGAATATTATGAGAGTCTTAGACGATAAAGTCGATCGTACGGGGCGAAGATGGAACACTTTCCATCGCGCATAATCAGTCACCTAATCAGTGATCTTTGCGTGTTTAACCAACTAAAAGTACAACTAGATAAAAAAGAACAACCCAAAGAAAAAAATCAGAAAGACATACATTGCACTTGAATAGAAAAAAAAACCCTCTACCACCGGACAGCGTTTATTTGACTACTACAATAGTAGTAGGTTTTGCAGTAACAGTGAAATCGATGCCATAGATTTTCAACTCTAGGACACAGAATACCTCAAATCGAAGAGGAGTTACAAAATCAAAACTGAACAAAAGCAAAACATTGGTGTTGTTAACTGAAAACAAAGGAAGCTGTGTACGTACCTCAATGTGTATTCGGCCGCGTTTCGGTCATCTTCTGGCCACTTGAACCGCCTTTTCCAGAGTCAGTCAGATCGGTCGGTCAGAGAAAAACAACGAAAAGTCGGGGCCCTCCCCCTATGTGTATATTACACGGAGCTTGTATGTTTGTATGCCTGCCTGTTCGTGGATCGAGTCTTCGACAGCAATATTTAGAAGACACTCCGTACACTCACACGCACACACACGCATACATACGTTCCCACAAATCAGTGACAGAACATCTCGCCCTTATAGAGAACATGTGGAATAAAGTATCCCCCCTGTATTTTCACTGATACTGCTGTAGTTTGTCTCTCAAAAGCGACACGTCCGAGTGTTAAACAACGTCTTTCATGACGGCTTCAGTATAGCGAAGTCGCCTATAGCATCTACGCTTGTTGGCTAATAACAGCGGAAGCAGTAACAGCACCAATACGGGCTTGCACCTCTGAGCGGTCGTTTAAACGTTGCTGGCTGAACGACAATATACAGAACCCGCGCGAGTGTGACAAATCCTTATTCAAATCCGCCCTGCAAGCGTATAGTCTCAGCTGCAACTCAGAGAAGTATTGGCAAAGCGTCTGAAAAGAAGGGCTGCGATAAAATCGCTTGACACTAGTCGAATAGCCAAATCTAGAAATCGTACTATAGAATAATCAAATTGTTCAGATAAAATTGTGACATAATTTACAGGAGAATGATCGTTGTTCGGAGCAACCAACTGAACTGCAGCTGTCAATCAGCTGGTTTCAGTCATGCGCAGAATGTACGCAAATTCGACCATTCATATAAACAAAATGAGGTAGCCGCTGTTCGTTGTATTTTATCTCACACGAATACATCTAGTAATCTTTCGAAGTAGCCTTGTAAAAACGCATTATTTCTGTTGTCGGTATGAGGTACCAGTCAACATTTTTTTCTTGTACAGTGATACTGAAACCAAATACTTTTTTAACTGTTACTAAACAACCTAACTGAGGTTAAAAAAAAAACATTTTTGGAGGACCCCAAAGAAGTGTAGCAAGTATGTGCGTTATCGAATTTCATGTCTTTCTGTCACAACAGCATGAGAAAGCGCTTATTAATATTAATAAGTACTATAAGGTGAATTAAATAGAATAAAAGCCATAGACCGGCCAAATCTAGCTGTGTTAGTAATAAGATCGCTTGATTTTCAGCCCGAGATTTATCTATTGGCAATTTTCCATTCATTCATCGAATTATAGCTTTGAAAACCAACCCCTAAGAGTTCTCCTTATATTTATAGTGTTGTTGCTTAAGCTATCAAAGATCAACAGACAATAGTTTGCAACAAAGGGTAGCCATAATGACAGTACTATTGGAAACTTCCCGTTATCATCTAGTTGCACTGTCCACAGCCGTTCGGATATAAAACAAAGTATTTTCCAACCGGATCAAAGTCCCCCCATTCACTCACGTTTCAGCCAGCAACAACAACCCAGATTGTATGTGTGTTTTCGTTTGTTACAAAAGTAGCACAGCCAACAGTTCCATCAGCGATGAGCGAATCGTTTACCGAGCTATAATCGCTATGGTCATGTAGCAAGATCAGGTTCGACAGAAACGTACTTGTTATTTGTATATAGATGCCCACAAATAAGCAACCGAACCATAACAATTTGTTGTGAGGTAACAGAACAAAAATAGCCTAAATGGAGGCGGACTTCGTATATAATGTAATTAAAGCATTCAACAAACGAGTAAAAAAGGCGTCGTAATCTAACCTGGTAATAGTCATACAGCTGCGGCTGTTGCGCGTGAGCAACGCTTCCGGCACCATCAACCTCTGTGGGCAGCTGCTTCACTTCAGTGTGGCTTTCGACCGCCTTCGCGTTGAGCGCCGAAGTCTCGTAAGAATGAGTTTGATAGCTGCCAGAAATCGTCGATGATGTTGTCTATAAGGATATCGTTAAAAAATAAAATTTACTAACAAAATATAGTTCAATGTTCCGCAACGATATGCTCAAATGTTCGTTATTATTTTCTATGCTGTTAATTTATCCAACACTATTGAATGCCCTTGATCATCAATTTTATTGGTTTTCTTCGCTTGTGCAAATACAAGAGACGAACCTGAGCCTGCTGTGTTCTGTACAGCTGTGAATGAGAATGTTGCTGCTGCTGAGATGCTAGGTGGTCCTGGTATTGAGCCCCATAAAGATTATTATTATTGTATGCTGGGTTGTTATAATGGGCCTGCTGCTGCCAGTGAAACCGCAATGAAACAATAGCACAATGAATACGTGTGAACGGCTATTTAATTTCAGAATCCAAAATTAATCGGTCGCTGCAGACAATCTTCATAATAAATAACATCGTGATCTACGAATAAAAAAATTAATGCAGAGTTTAATGCATTGTGGACGAATATACAAAGTTAAGTTTTGCTTTAAAAAAGCGACTTTGTATAGTCACTCAATAACTTTTGTTTGGTGTTTGGAGCTTCAATATATGTAGAAATGAATTACAGCTGTTATATCCGCTTTTTCCCCGGGTAGTCCCGCCACTCCAGTGCCGCCCAGTGAGAGACCGGTACCGCCTTGTGGTTCGGCTGCAACATGGGTCCGATCCGATTGCGAATGGGCGGGTGTCGATGCTTCAAAAACGTCCCCGTTACGGATCGCATTGCAGAGTTGTTCAAGTCGAAGCAACCATTCGGGATCACCTAACTCCTCATATTCCCCTGCAAATGTAACTCAAATCAGGCTTTTCGATTAATCTGCGTTTAACATTACGGGAAATTGATTTTTGTAGGGTGAAAGGTATCGGTTCTGAAAGGATGAAGCCCTACGCAGAAAGTTAGCAAGTATTCAAAGACAACTTGACTACGTCTATATAATTTACCTGATCCCTGACTGTAGTGAACATCGTTGAATTTGAGCTTTGAGCCAAGACTGTACACCTCATGTACGAGTTGCGGTTTGTAAGCGGTAGGATGATGAACAAAGTCATGTGCCAGACGTTCGCAGTACGCTAATGCTTCCTGAACGAAGCCCAGCGCGATAAGACGTTTCGCGTGAAGGAACTTATAAGAAGCCAGCGAAGGTAGAGCGTAGCCGGGATTGCTAAGAGACTGAGCGTACTCATATATTTCCGTGCACATGATCGCTTCGTTTGTTGCGAACGAGCTAAAATTCGTCTGCAAATGGCTTGAGCCAAGCAGAACGAGCTTGCACGATTTATCGCAGAATTCGCCAAAGTCTACTTGTGCCATTAGATAACAGAAGTGTGCGGCACAAAGACAGCCACGTGAAAGGAGCACGTCACCCATCATTATAATTGAGCGCGCGTCATTTTCTGGCTTTATCGACGGATTCGAAAGGATCATAGCAAGGTGAGGTCGCCAATCACCCCAAGCGATGTCGCTGACGCAACTCACCGACGATGGCTGACGTCCCGAGTAAAGTTGATAGACTGTTTGCAGGGGATCGTTACCAGCCATCGACTGATAGAATTTCGTATGTACATGGGTGTACATTTTCATGTCAAGTTTCGATGCCAGACAGAAAGCATGACCCCACAGCTCGTAGCGTACGGCATGCTCAACCGCCTCACGCCGATGACCAAACAGCAGAAGCTCACGGAACTTGCCTAACGCCTGTTCGGGACTTAGACCACCGCTGCGTCTCTGTTGCAATGCACGACGATTCAACCTTGTACTGCAAAAGGTGAAATCTTTATTTAAAAAAGTACATCACTATATGCTGTTATGCATCGGTTTAGTTTAGCTTTTTTTTTTAAAGTAATACAAATGTACTGTGAAATTTGTTATTTGGAACACGAATAAGAAAACAATTTTCGTACCTCTCCAGGGTCGTCTGACTAGCATCAGAATTGGCAGCTTCGTCGCTATTCTCCACCTGCGACATGTCTTCCTCTGCCAGCCGCTGAACGGATGCTGGGTCCACGTAAGGGGCATCCTTGAGTAGAAGTTCCGCAATATCCGTGCCTGTCACATGGCCATTTTGACGCAAAAGTAGCACAAGTAATTCCCATAAAAGAACGTAGGATTCACGGTCTACTATAAACTGACCATTAAGCATGGGCAGCTTGTTCCTTCGAACGGCGTTGATACGTTGATTGCAAAAGTGGATCACATGGTTCTTGTGAGTTTCGGCACGGACCAGGGGGCCTGGAAATTTCCCCAATTCCTTACTGTCCGATTCTCCTTCCAGAATCAGCTTCAGGTCATGTAGCTCCAACTGCGGCGGTTTACTATCAACTGCTAGCGTCGACGGATGAATTTTAACCAGCGTGGTCAACGACACAAAACGAGCAAAGACATGTGGCCTAGTGAATTTTTTTAACTCCTGGGGAATCGCTGGTTCTGCTGTCATTAGTAGATTGCCGTCGAGGCGGGTGGTATCGCCAAAAGAGCTTGATGCCAGGCTGTCGTTTAGCTGGACTTGTCCCCGAGTGGCTTTGACGACGCCACCGCCACAGATGTACGCCTGAACTTCCCTCATATCATAGCCCTGGTCTGCGCACCTCGCGAAGTAGTCGTCTAGCACGTAGCGATAATCTGGATCGGTCTCGTACGCTTGCTTTACGTATTCAAGGTCTTGGCCGTTCGTTAGAGCACTAAGCATACTGGCACCGCCCATCGTTGCGTGTGTTCCACCAGCCGAAGCCGCGTGTAATAGTTGCTGGCTAGTCGACAGATTCATCGACGTATTCATCATAGACGCCATGCCCTGATTCGTAATGTTTCGTCCGCCGATAGCCGAGAGATGCGCAAGCTTGTGAGCATTGGCTGCCTGATATCCCGTTCCTGGGCCGCCGCGGCCTAAATGACCGGCTACCCGGCCCATGGCGGGATGGCGATCATAATGATCGTCCCTTCGGTTACGGTTATAACGATGATCAATAATCGACAGCTCGCTATCGGACACCATATGCGAGCTGACGAAGCTTTCCGTTATGGATGAACCGCGGCTAAGGGGACGCGAGTCGTAACCGCCACCATAGTCCCTGCCATGGTCGAGTCGTCTGCCGTCTCGCCGATAATAGTCTCTAAGTTCATTGCAGCCCCTTCGGCCACCGCCGGTTCTTCTGCGATAGTCAAGATCGGTCTCGTCTTCGGTGTAACCTCGATCATTCCTACGTCTAGAATCGCCGCTCTTTCGGCTTCGGTACCTTGCTGATTCCTCATCCTCGCTTCGGTACTTCCCACTGTGTGTACTACTTGCGTATTTGCCTGGATTTACGCTCGAAAACTCCGAATATTCCGTTTCGTCCGAGTCTCGACGACGTCGCTCGTCACCGCGACGTCGATTCCTAAGTAACGAATCAATGGAACAAAAACGTTATTATGGATACGAAAAAAATTTCAAACTACTTCTACCACACAAACGAAATGATTCGCCGCGTGCGTGTATATGATCCACTATGCTTTGTACTAGTAGAGATATTGTGTATTAATAATTAGACATAACACGTACCTTGCGTCATAATAGGGATCGTAATCCTCGTCATAATCTCGATCGCTAGCATACTTTCGGCGATTCCGCTCTCCCTCGCTTTCACGGCCTCGTCGCTCACTCTCACGGTGTCTGAAACAGTAGACCGTAGCAGTTAAATAAAAAATGACTTAAGGGTTCTGATCAACATTCGTAATGATAACAAAATCATTTTCTTTTGAATTCTCTCGAAAATGGCTGTATTGTGGTGTTATCTTTCGTGCGTAATAATTGGATAAAAAACAAATCGTACGTAGTTATTCCGTATTGTATTCCCAGCAGAGAAATCCGGATTCTACGATTCGTACTTTGTTTTAGCGGCATGCTAATTCGTTCATGGTTGTACTTACTTTCGATGTCGGCGAACTTCGCTTTCGTCGGAGTAATATGCAATTTCTTTGCGTCTTTCATGCTCTCGCTCTCGTTCACGGTCCTCTCTATCCCAGTCATCTCGGCGCATGTCGCGATGGTCCCTCCGTCTGCACGAAGAAATGTCTCTGATCCGTGAAGGCAGCTCCCGTTCCCGAGCCTTGACTTTTTGTTGTAACACCTCACGGTTGTGTTCAGCCACCTCGCTATCGTCTGATGATGAGGTGGATTCCCTTCCCGATCGGCGGCTTCGTGGCCGGCTCTCGTCTCGCACAGCTTCTGCGGCTCTACTGGCCTGCATTTCGCTTAGCTACAAGAAAATTAAAGCAGCTTTTGGTAACACCTACTATGAGTAACTTTAATGATGAAAATTAAAATGTGTTTGTAAACTTCCGCTAAGTTGACCATAGTTTGTTGCACATATATATAATTTCGAACCGTTTTTCTTCAATTAAATAATTACAAGAATATCAACACTACAACTAACCGATGGCTGCCCCGATCCGGATGGCTCAGTCCTCTCAAGACCCCGCGTAGTGTCGACCTCCTCTTGATCTGATTGATTTTCAGTCTGAATTCTTCGAGCTCCTACCACGTCATCTCTTGCACTTACATTAGGGGTTAGGTTCGTCTGTCGGTTGACTGAAGTCATAATGTTGTCCCGTTGATCGCCCATATCTGCTCCTTCGCCCCCTAGTGGACTTTGCCGCACCTCTGCAACACTCAAACTTCCGGCTGGCGCGCTTCTCTCGGCCGACGCTCGCTGTCCAATGACCTCACGAACGACTGAAGGTTCACGCGATTCTGGCTCCGAAGTTGCCCGCGAATTTCCTACTTCGGAAATAGCTTGCGTTTCGGATCCTCCGATGGTCATTGCTGACGCCGTGTGTGACGACGGGCCCCCAAGGTAAGGCATTCGCTGGAAGGCTGGCGGTTCTGCAGGTGCCCCATCGGATAGAGGCCTAACGAATTCGATACCCGCAAAGTAAGTAGTTCTCTCATCGCCACCAGCTGCATCGGATCTGTGTACAACGTTCATTTCTGGGAACTCATTAGGAGCATGTGAAAGTAAGTCTGCAGAAGAATGCTGTCCAGATACTGAGAAGTCATGAGCCTCCGCCGGAATGAAATTATCGCGTGCATTAGTAGCTCCTTGGTGATCAATGTGAGGCTCTTCCGACGGATCCGTTTTTTGTTCTTCCTGATGGTGAATATTGTGCTTAGCTTGAAGTATCTCACTCATCGAAGGGAGACCTCCAGCCAACGTTCCCGATGCAACGTCCTTATCGGTCACACTGTTTTGTTCTTCCGATGATACCCGGCTTCCATCTTCCAAGGATGCTTGCTGTTGGTCAACTGCCGTCGTGACCGCAGCCGATTGCGGTTGTGGAACATTGCTTACCCCAGGTTCGTTTTCTCTTATCGAAAGTGCTTCTAGTTTGTCCTCGAGCGTGTCCCACTCCTCAGATATAGACTCGTTGACGTAATTGCTATTATGATCTTCAACCTGTTTGTAACTCATAGCACGAAAATCGTCCTCCAGCTCGAAATCTGACGGCCCACCTTTGTTGGAGGATTCTAACGTTTTATCAGTCTGTGTAAGCGGGATGTTCTCCATTTCGGCTGACGCATCACCTGTTCTTCCTGATACTGAAAACGAGGCATTAGTACTCTGTTGCCCCTCGTTAGTGATTACCTGTAAAGTTTGGATACACGCTTCATACACATTGTATTCCTGCTGCGGCAAATGCGTCGTAGATTGATACTTTTGCTGCAGTAGATGTCGTTCCGATTGCTCCTGACTGTATGAAGTGGTCTGATCTTTGCTATTGCCCTGGTAAGACTGCACGTCTTGAATTATTTGGGGGCTATACGGTTCTTGTGTGAAGCTGGGAATTTCTTGCTGCTGCTGCTGCTTTTGTTGCTGTTGCTGTTCATGGGAGCTAGTCACCGATGCAGCTATACTGCTTTCCGATGCACGGCGTTCGGCTATAGGCGGCATGGTCGTATCGCCACTTTGCTTTACAGGATATTGATGCGATTCCGCTGCCTGTAGTGCGTACTGCTGCTGCTGTTGTTGTTGTTGCGGTTCATTTTGAACAACAACGCTGTCAGTCACGGTACACTGCTGAGGAGGATGGGGTGTGCTACTTTGTGGATACTGAAGTTCTGGGGTACTCGTTTGAGAATACGCTACCGCTCCAGGAGCGCCACTCGGAGAATATTGCACACCAGGAGTACTGCTTTGAGAATATTGCCCACCATGGACACTGCTCTGGGAATACTGTGGCCCCACTATAGAGCTATTTTGAGTAGAGTAGGACTGTCCATGCACATGCGAAGCGTAGTCCTGTGATTGGTTTAGTTGCTGCTGGTACACATCGCAGGTTCCGCTATTTTGAACGAACCCGGAATGCTGCTGCTGTTGCTGTGTTTCTGGCCGAGTTTGGTTTTGGCCATAGCTGCTCGTTGTTGGGGGAACGTAAGAGCTAGGGCCGATCAGATGTGGTTGATGGGACTGTTGGGAATACTGTTGTTGCTGGGGCTGTTGTTCGTAGTAATTACTTGCCCCTGATTGTGGCTGCTGTTCATGTTGAAGCTGGGCGTTCGCTTGTGATAGTGGCGTAGCCCGGTTGCTTCCCGAGTTACCCCAACTGCCCCAGCCGCCTTGGTCTCCCCAGTCGTTCCAATTGCCCTAGCAAGAAAAACACAGAGCAACGTTTAAAAATAGTACTCTTAACCAATCAATACAGGTAACAGTTTTACAGCTAACTATTTTGAGTACACAATGAAGCATGTTGGTGGTTCAGGATTGTTTCGAATGCTGTACTGCAGGTTATACGAACCGAATGTAAAGCACGAAACAGCTGATCAAACTACTCTCCGAATAAAATTTTTCTCGTAGACAATCCAACCATGAAATAAACAAAGAAATCTCCATTCTAATTTTCCAAAGATCCAAGCACAAAAATTCGTGGACGCAGTGAAACCCCTACCAACGTATTCGGCATGTTCTACCAGATAGCGATTCCTAAAAAAATCAGTTATGATTTTTTTAGGAATCGCTTCCCCTCCCCAAAACCCCACGAACGAATTCAAAAGAACACGCATGCTAACAACAAAATGGTTCCAGTAGTATGTGGGAAGGCACGGAGCAGCTGCGTAGCGACGCGAGGTCTAAAAAGTGCGTGGAAGGCGTAACGGCGAAAGCTCTGTACGTCGAATATTGACAATCGAGCGTTAAGAGCAGCAGCATCAAAGCTTTGGTGGCGTGCAGCCTATATCTATTACTTACGTCCTGAGAGTTTTGATTGAACGTATCGCCAAGAAGGGGAATGTTATTGTCATACGACATTTGTTGCTGCTGCGGATGATCATGTTCCTCCAGTGATGAAGGCGTTTGACGCTGCGAAACATTTTGACGCTGGTATTCGTGTTGTAGGGAATACTGCTGTAGTTGCTGTGAATTTTGAAAATTGCTCTGATAGAGTTGGTGATGATGCTGGCTGTATCCGGCTGCAGAAGACTGATTATGCAATAGTTGACTCTGTTGTATAGAAGACATATTCGCTTGATGCTGCTGTTGTTGGTGATGGTTCTGTGCTAGCGAAGCGTGACGATCGCCACCAGCGGAATTGTTGAGGTTTCTTCCGAAAGCGTCTCCACCAGCTGTATCATCCCATTTCCAACCTTCGCCCTATATTGTGATCGCGATGTATGCAAGAGCCGCGATACGATTTTCGTTGATTAATCGTATTCCAATATATCAGGTAAGTGAAAATGACCGGCGTGTCATGTCCAGACGCAAGGTTTTCACAGACACAAAAACAACACCCGATGTTGCCCGTTAGTCAAGTCATTGGTTCATTCGATTACTAAGTTAGTATAATTATTGTAATCTGTAGCACGAAATCATCAACTGATGATTTTTTGTATCACACCAAATACTATGCTGCATGCTCACAGGCCAGCCATTAAAACTGAGCAAACCTTTCGAGGCTGAATCTTGCGAATGTACTTGGATAAGCTTTAGATGCATCAGAAAAGCCTATAAACAGAACATCCACGCATCGTCGGAGCAACAAAGCTTAAAATAGGGGCAATATTTTACGTTCGTAGATTTGAAAAAGTACAAGCGCATGATTTTCTAAAATGAAAATTGTTCTTTTTCATACAGATCCTTATTTGCCTTCATAGGTCCGCTTGTCAATGGCCGCAATCCTCAGATATGGACATTTTAATAACTAAGCCAAAATGGCATTTATGATTTTCCAGAAGTCAGGTTTCTTGACCGGTAGTTACGTGAACGTAATCGAAATGTAAAAGTCTAAAACATAAGCCCTCTGGACTGAATGCTTGTAGCCTTGGCCTATCTTCGATTTCGGCTGCCTGATATGTTGCTATGTGACCGTCTTATGCTCAAACCCTTTTGAAGTTGAAAGCCATTCTGCTTACCAGGGACCAAGATGCATCATGATAATAAGTAACAATATGAGGAAAACACAAGAAATTATGACCGGGAGCTGTGTAATCAAAGAAGACTGTGCCAGATCTAACAGGCAAGAGTACAGTTCAATCTATATTATGAGTTACTTCAAGATCTTATGCTTGAAGCCATTCAGACCTCGAGAGGTGCTATAAAAATGACAACTTAACAGTGCATCGCAAAAAGGAAGTATCGATAATTTCATGTTACACCTGAAATTGCGGACTCTTTAGTGATGCTGACGTTTTGATTTGTTTAAACGGACTCGTTAAGATTCATTTTCCGGAAAAAATTAATAGTTTTCACCCCCTCTTGCAGCTGAACATTCAGTGTAATTGAAAGATAGACGTTGACAGTCCCTTGTGGGTTGTCAATCGATTAACAGTCGTGGAAACTTTAATTTTATCCTTTGTATTTAATTTTTATTTATAAGCAAACGCAAATAGAATATCTGTGCATAGTATACAACGTTCTATATAAACATATATATTGCAAAAAAGCCTAAAAAGGCGAACGGTGCTTTAAGCAAAACTGCATGATTTTCGCGATAATCACAAATCTGTGTCGGCGTAGGCACTACCACCTGTTTCGTTTTTCGCTTTAAAGGAATATAAAGACATGCAAGGTGGTTACAGTCATGAAATGGCTCTTTTCTTCGAAGCTCACGTAATAAAAATTTACTTAGCCAACTTCAACTCCACCAATTCCGACGTATTGCGACTACAAAATTAATGTAGGTCGATTAGGTTATACCGCACATGCAGCTTCACGCAAAAGCAGTGATTTGATGGATTAGTTAACGAGCAGTCCGACATCTAATACGAAGGTTAAACAAACCTGTTCTTCCCAGGCTTCCCACTCATCGTTCATTGTAGCAGTGGACGCTTGTCTATTGCCATTGTTCTGGCCTACGTCACTACTCAGCTCGTGGGTAGTGACGCCGCTACTGTACATTTGTGCAGCTGATGCTGTCGCCGAAGCTATCGTGTTGTTGTTATTGTGGTTCACACTCATGGTCTGGTACAAATAATGGTTACTGTTGCCAGTCGTATTGCTGTTGTTGTTCGAGCTGCTGTTATGATTAATCACATTCGGATTGTTATTGTTGTTGTTGCTGTACAAACAAGGACTCATATTGTTGCTGTTGTTGTACTGTGGTTGCACCTGCTGCTGTTGCTGCTGGTACTCATGGACGGAACTGACTTCGGGCTGCGAGGCCACTGAATGCTGAGCCGATGATTGTATAGTCGTTGTCGGACTGGCCACCGGGGAAGGCACGGACAGATCCTGAGCTTGCCACGATCCCTGCGTCTTCAGTGTTCCTTCCGGTCTCACTGCATGGATTCAGCAAAAAAAATACATTTGGCTGTTGGAGAGTGTTCTAATGAATGTTTTAACAGCAAGAATATCAACAAACAGTACAATCCAATCGAATATATAAACGACTGTAAAGACAACTTTGCGCTTTGGAAGTTCCGAAAGTAGCAGTATACAGTAAAACGCACTTCGGGTCTTTCTCTAAGAAAGGTCTTATTCTTGCCGGCGTTTGCTACTTGAACAGCCAACGTCTAAGAGCGTATGCTGCGAATCCGCAGTCAGATAGTCGCGGGCATCTAGGAGATTTATGGAACTTACATAGTTCCAAAATCGACAAAGAAGACCTTAGGCCGCTTCGCGTAAAAACTCTTCATTTATGGTGAAAGTTACAGTAGTAAATGAAATACAAACAAAAAGTTATTTTGAAATGTTCAACACGCCTAGTAAATTCTGGGCGATATACAAAAGAAAGATGACATTATGACTTAAGAGGCGGGCGCCTAATATTCTGCATGCTACACTGAGTAAGTTCTAAACTAAAGACATGTCGTTAGTCATTTTGTTATATATTGAATATATTTTGCTTAACATACCCTTGGGATAACGACCCCTCCTCTGTAAGATCGTGTGAGACATGATCGTCGTAGACGCTGCTCACTCCTGAAATGTAATGAATCCGACTTTAGTTACAACAACAGAATACAAATTGAATAACATTAACAGCTTTATAATCAATAAGATGCTACCGTACGTCGTTTTTATCATTATAACCACACTACACGTGTGCATGTGTTACAAAGTTGTAAATACTGATAATGAATAATGAGCAAGATTTTGCCGACTTTGCAATCGTTAATTTGATTAAATCGAACACACAACATTGTTAAACATGACTTTATGACTCAAGACTTATAAATCTACAAATTTTGCGAATTATATCCATATTATGTATCTTAATTGTATATTATCTATTTTCCCCAAAAAAAATAACGAACATCATCAATGATCAACAATAATAATTAATCATATGATCCAATTAAATTCATTCGACTTCAAATGGCAGTTGAATGTAATTCTAAACGAGCCAAGGCTAGAAGCCAAGACCATGTAAAAGACCAGTTAAGCTTTATTGGCTTTTTGATATATTAAAATGGGTTTTTGCTCGCTATACTGGTTCAGCCTCATATCTTATAGTTGATGCACCTTTGGTAACGAACAAACGATTGCTATAT